AAAACAGAAACTAGAGTCAAACATTTATCACTAGTATAAATCAAATTAAGCTACCTCATTGAAGTGTGCTGAAATATTAAAAATACCTCTAAAAAAGCTTGTAGATCAAGTGAAAACACTTATGCCTGCATATAAAAGAGTGAAATAGTTATCATTGAGTTTGGTTAGAAGATTTACACAAATAATGAGCTTCAGAAATCTATATTAGATTCTAAAAAAATTGAATACAATCATAGAAAAGGATATTAGGGAACTGTAGAAGCCTTTTAAGAGACTGAAAAGTTGAATACCATTAGATCATGTGCTTCTGATAAGGCACCTAGACCTGATGGTTACATTCTGTCATCAAAGCTGGTAGGTATAACACTAATGTAAAATGACCACAAAGCATAACATTTGTTTTAGTTTTCCCTGTACCAAGGAAGAGAACACAAACTCTCTTTGGATTGGCCATCAAAGATACCACACTTGGCACTAGAAACTCCATAACCAATGTAAAATGACCAATGATAATGAAAAAACAGTAGCTAAAAGAGGGGAAAAGGTGAATGTGGAGATTACCTAGGCATCCAAAGCATCACAAAACAGCTCTCATTCAAATGGAACATTCAGTTACCTGGTATGTATAACACTAATTAATGCTACAAGTAGATTTAAATAAAGGTTAAAATAAGAAATAGAACACACATGGTCAAAATCCAAGAGTTACTGATTTTAATCACCGTAATTTGAAAAACAGAAACTAAAGAAAATGAGAATATTTGGAGAAAACTTAATACAAACAAATTACGGTGAAGATACAAAAGTAGATTATCAAGCACTAGTCACTATCTATGTCTTCTTCAAACTCTTCCTCTTTATGATCCTCTTCATCATCTTCATCCTCCTCAGTTTCCTCGGTTTCATATTCTTCATATTCTTCTGTTGATTCTATTTGGATTTCATGATGCTCTTGCAATAAACCATCATCAATGGGTTCATCCATTTCCATTGTATCCCCATTTGGATCATTTAAGAGTATGTTTTCATCAATGGAAACAGTCATATCTATCTCGTGGACTTCAACTTCATCAACTTGGAATGGAACATTCAGTTCTGAAGTTGTCCCCACTCCCTTATCAAGTAATTCAATAACATTTCGAGGTTTGACCTTCAATACAACTACCCAGTCATCTTTGTCCTTTTTCTTGTTGGTATACGACACATAACACACTTGAGTTGCTTGCATTGCCAGAATAAAAGGCTCATATTTTTTATATCGACGACGTTGATTAATCTCAACCAATTTGTACTGATTATGCCTTTTGACACCAACATCCATAGTTGGGTCAAACCATTCACATTTAATAATACAGTTTGCTTCAAAGGTGCTTCAGGGTATTCCACTTGTATAATCTCTTTTATCCGTCCAAAATAATCACCAAAATTTGAATCTGAGATACAAACTCCACTATTCATTGTTGATCTTGCGCTACCATGACATTTTGTGTGAAATTTGTATCCATTAACAAATAAACAGAATGACATGTAGCACTTATTAATGGTCCACGGGCAAGACTACTCAAGAATTTATTCTCTATGGGATTGCATCGGACCTATTTTGAAAAAATTGCAAGACATAGTAAAATTTCCGAAGTCAAGTTAAGCACATTACCACATAAAAGATAGTATTTTTGAAATCTTTACAAATTCCTTGAACCATGTAGAGAAATTTGCTTCAAGGCTCTCATCAATTTGACCCTGAGATAGATTCGGAAATTCTTCTTGCAAAACGTTGCATGAACATACTTCATCATAGTAAAATAAGTTTAAATTTGATAGTCGTGAATAAAGATATGTTTATATCATTAAGAAAATACCACTAACTTTTGTTACCTCACAAATGGCTCAGCCTCCTCACAATTTAGTAAGATATAAGTTTGGGAAGCCTTGATTTCTTCAAGGGATAAATCCTTTTTTTTGTTTCTCCCCATACTCGATCTGGATGGGAGAATATTGATAAATTTCCTTCAAGATCTTCCACAACACCACCATCATCATTACGTTCCACATTATGATTACGTGCCATGACATGAGGTTCAAAATAATGAGAAAATAATTGTGTTGACTCTGTCATCAAGTACGCTTCACAAATGGAACCCTCTACACTAGCTTTATTCCCAATCATCCTTTTTAAGAGTTCCCAAATACCTAAATAGAGAAAATGGATGGACCATTACATTAGAAAAGGAATGTATGGCAAACTAGTCATAAGTGACATAAAGTTTCACATTTACCTTTCAAAAGGATACATCCATCGATATTGCACTGGTCCAGCTATCCTTGCTTCATATGGAATGTGCACAGGAAGATGCTCCATTGAGTCAAAGAACCCAGGAGGAAATATACGTTCTAACTTGCATAAGATTTGTGGAATATCTCTCTCCAATCTCTCCATGTCATCCACTCGTAGAGTGGTGGAAGTAAGATCTTTAAAAAATAAGCTCAACTCTGTAAGTGCTTGCCACACATTACTAGGAAGTAATTCACGAAAAGCAATAGGCAAAAGTCTTTGCATGAACACGTGACAATCATGACTTTTCATGCCATATAGCTTTTTCGTATTTGTGTCTGGACATCTACCCAAATTGGAAACATACCCATCTGGAAACTTTAAGCCTTTCACCCAATTGAACAAGATAGCTCGTGCTTCCTTGTCTATTGTATATACAGCTTTGGGGTATTTACCATTTGAATCCTTTGCCAACTGAGGTCGATCACAATAGTTTACCATATCCAAACGTGTTTTCAATCTAAAGGATTGTGTTTCCTCCATACAATTGGGACATGCTAAATTACCAGTAGTACTCCATCCGGATAACATAGAATATGCTGGAAAGTCACTGATTGTCCACATTAAAGCTGCCCTTAGTTGAAAGTTCTGCTTTTTTGAGATGTCAAATGCTTCCACACTTGTCTCCCACAACAAAGTAAGTTCTTTTATCAGAGGCTGCAGATAAACATCAATTTTATGTTTGGGATTGGTTGGCCCTGGAACAATAACTGTTAAGAACATATAAGCCTCTTTCATACACATCCCTGGAGGTAAATTGTAAGGAGTGACAATTACTAGCCATGAAGAGTATTTACTCCCAGACTGACTAAATGGTTGGAAACCATCAGTACATAACCCCAATCTTACATTTCTTGGTTCCACAGCAAAAAAATGATGAGTTTCATTGAAGTGCTTCCAAGCCTTAGAGTCTGATGGATGACGCATTACACCATCCTCTTTTGTATGCTCATGATGCCATCTCATGTCAGTAGCAGTAGCAGGGGCATATAATCTTTGCAATCTAGGAATCAAAGGAAAATAATACATTTTCTTATAAGGGACCAATTTCCTTTTACGAGAGCCAACACGATGCTTGTATCTCTCATGGCCACAGAATGTACAACATGTAAGGTGTTCGTCATCACCCCAATATAACATACATCCTGATTCACAACAATCAATTTTTTCAACTGGCAAACCCAAGCTACGCACTAGCTTCTTGGTCTGATAATAACTATCAAGAACCATGTTATCTTCAGGTAAAGCCTCTTTCAACAATTGCATCATTTGATTATAACCTCTTTGTGACATATTGTTCTCTATTTTAATATTTAACATCCGAGAGACAAGCGCAAGTTGAGAGAGAGAAGAACCGGGATACAATTTTTGAGTAGCTGCTTGTAGCAAATCATATAATTTTTGAGAGTCGGGATTAGGATCTTCCTCCATCAAAGGTTCACAAGGATGAGTTGGCTGAGGTTCAATATTGCTAGAAGATTGCCAACTTGAACCTTGGGAAAAGTTGGGACACGAAACATCTAAAACCATTTGTCGGTATGGATTATCATATGTTAGTTCAGGTTGAGCACTACCATGCAAATCTTGACTTGAAGAAATCTCATTGATCATATCTTTTTCCCCTTGATGCTTCCAAACAAAATAGTTATCAACAAATCCAGTCTTATAAAGGTGATGTTTAACGATTTCAACATCCATGAATCTAAAGTTGTGACATTTTTTACATGGACATCTAACTTTGTCACCACTCAAGCGATCCTGTTGTGTACATGCAAACTGGATAAATTTATCCACACCGGTTATGAAACTAGAGTTTATAGCCCC